TGTAGACATCCAATAGGCTGACGCGTTTCGAGGACTTGCCTCTTCCTCAGAGGAAGCGCGGTGTTGACCCAGCTGTTCTTTTATGATGTGCCTTGACTTTATTCTCGTTTGTGAGTACAACACCTATTTTATTCTTAATAAAAATTTTTTATGGTAATGCACTAGGCCTGTGCGCCCCCTCTTTTTTTGTTCTTTCCTCATTCAGTATATTTGGATTCCCCCTGTCCATTTGAGGGCAGCAAGGTGTGCATGTTCCAGGCAGGGGCGGACTGACCATTTGGTAACTAGGGCACTGTCCGAGGGCCGGGGTCAGTAGGGGGCCCCAAGAGATGCCCCTGGTACCTTTTTCATAGGCTTTTTTGAGTTTGGGCAAGGACACGGGGGGGGCCCCATGATCCCCTATTGCCCGGGGGCCCCATGAGTTGTCAGTCCGCCCCTGGTTCCAGGACATTCTTAATGTGGTTGCAGCCTGCATCGAGTCCATCCCCAAGCGCAGGAGCATTTGTGTTTGCTGGTTCATGGTTGCCATTCATTGCTGTGGTGTTCCTACTTGATATTCCTATGTCCACTTTACTGTCCATCATTTCCTGAAGTCAACTACACATCACTTACCAGTCTACCTGTACCAGCATCTGGAAAGAACTGTGAGGCACTTGTGCCACTCCATGCCCCTGTGCCACCTGTTTGGTTTCTCAGGGACCCTGTGCTGGAGGTGTTAGAGAGGCTGTCCTCATCTCCTCAGGCTCCTCCACCAAGTACATGACACAAGTTTTCTGATCAGGTCCACCTGTCAATTTTTCAGGCAGACTTGGTCGGAGGCTCCGTGCAAGTCTATGGGCAGGCAGATGAAAACAGGTGCCTGTATGTTTACATACACTGACCTCTGAGTTCATCTAGGTGTAGAGAAAAAATGGAAAAGGACTGCATTTTTCCACACCTAAACAAGATCAAAGGTAGGTTTGGCTTCCTCTGCTGGGCCCTACTACACCATAGACTCCACTTCAGATTCAATGTGGACCTAAATGTGACAGATCAGAGCCTAGCCGCCTTCTGCTTTTTGGCTCAATCTTCTGGGCCCTACTACACCATAGACCCCTTTTCAGATTCTACGTGTCTCTCTTTAGACTCAAACGTTCTGTTATCATCTGGTGTGTAGACGAGCACCCCTGATGTGACTGGGCGTTAGCATATATTGTAACTGAACCAGCTCTCTTTTTAAAAGTAATTTATGACTTTAACAGGTTGCCCATCATGCAGCTTTCTAGCTTTCGTGTTCAACTCTTTCTCTTTTTCTTTTCTTTTCTTTTTAAGTAAATGTCAGTTTCTGCCCATATGTCCTAACCTCATTTGAATTCTGCCTACTCTGACTCCTGCTGTGTTCCCTGACTGGTTTTGATACATTTGGTTACTTCTGGAAATGAGATGTGCAATGCACCTTACTAAACTTTTGTTCCGTTTTTATGTGGGGTACCCCCTTTTAATCTATAGTAGACCCTAAGCGAATATAAGGGTCTGGTATGGATATTGAGAGCAATCCCTTGCCCACTTGGTTTACAAATAGAATAAAGAGGCTGGGAAATGTCACATGGCGGCAATTAAATTTTTTTTTTTGGAAATGTCACTTTTTCTTTAGTACATCCTACAGTTGCCCAATGCACGTGTGGGTTTAAGGTATCCCCAAAGCATGTTATTTAAAGGAATTGTTTATTTTTAATGTTACCCTTTAAGCCTTATTTTAAAAAAAACTTGCTCCTGCTTTTTTTGCATTAGTACATGTCTCTCATGGCAGTGCCAGGCCACTCATTCTTCTTTTTTCCCTGAAACCTGCAAACTGACCATAAAAAAATAACAAAATTCAGCTCCTGTAGACTTCAATGGGGTTTGGGTGATCTGTTTGGTTTCTTAAAGAAAAAAAATCATATCTGTTTGATAACTTTGATCTTTCGTGAATCTCTCTATTGCCTAAAATATTGTTTTCTTTCAAAAACTCTTCTGATCTTTTTAATAAGCTGTCTACTATGTTAAACTAACTAATCTGTAACAACTTGGACCCCATTTTAAATATAGGCACTACATTGGTCTTGCTCCAATCCAGTGGTACCACGCCAGTCATTAGAGAGTCATTAAAACTAGAAACAAAGGCTTTGAAATAACAGAGCTCACCTCTTTGAGGACACATGGGTGCAATCCATCTGGCACAGCTGCTTTATTCACCTTTATTGTGTCTATATGTTTTTGGACCATATCAGTTTTGAGCCATTGGGGCTCTTTTGTCAATATGTCAATATTATCCCCATTATGGGGTTGAGCTCCTGCATTTTCCTTTGTATACACAGGTCCGAAGAAGGTCTTTAATAAATTTGCCTTCTCTTCAGCCCCATTCACCAACGCTAAATTTTGTAAACGGCCTACATGCTCAGTCCTGACCCTTTTACGGTTAATATATTTCAAGAATTGAAAGCGATACTACAGTTTTTTTTTTTTTTCTTAAATAAAAAATAATAATAAACATGTTATACTTACCTGCTCTGTGCAGTGGTTTTGCACAAAGCAGCCTTGATCCTCCTCTTCTCAGGTCCCCCCGCCGGCGCTCCTGGCCCTTCCCTCCTGTCGGGTGCCCCCATAGCAAGCAGCTTGCTATGTTGGCACCCGAGCAGGCACGCTCCCGAGCCCCTGCATTTTGTGACCATTCAATGCCCCCCCCCCCCCCCGCTGACATTCTTTGATTGACAGCAGCGGGAGCCAATGGCTCCCGCTGCTGTTTCAGCCAATGAGGAGACAGAGTCCTGGGACAGCCAATGCTCCTGTGCACATGGCTAGATTGGGATGGGGCTCAGGTTAGTATTAGGGGGGCTGCTACACACTGAAGGTTTTTTACTTTCATGCATAGAATTTATGAAGGTAAAAAACCTTGAACCTTTAGAACCACTTTAATATCTGAAACTTGTGTTAGACAGTGGTGCCAGTGGATTTGTCAAATTGCAAACAGAAAAATCTTTATGCCAGAACACGTTGTGCTTGTCAGCAAACTGGATATCTCTTTTTATCTTTTAAGTGTGGTTTTGCTAATAGTGGCTTGCTGTATCAAAAGTACCCTACTATAAAAGTGTGCATCAAGCATCTGTTTTTATACCTATTTTTGCTAGATGTATACTGTAGCTTTGAATTTTCACAGTGTATTTTGCTCTTTTTTTTTTTTTTTAAGTCCTCACGCCATGTGGTTGATTTACTAAAACTGGAGAGTGCAAAATCTAGTGCAGCTGTGAAAGGTATCCAATCAGCTTCTATCTTCAACTTTGTCAAAATTAAGCTTTGACATAAAAATCTGGAAGTTGATTGGCTTCTATGCAGAGCTGCATTATATTTTGCGCTCTTCAGTTTTAGTAAATCAACCCCATATTTGTTAAGCTGTATTTTATGCATACCTCCACACAACATTATTATTATTATTATTATTATACAGTATTTATAAAGCGCCAATAGTTCGCTCAGCGCTGTACATTACAAAGGGGGACATGTGACAGAACAATACCAATACAATGCAAAACATGAGGGGATCGAGGGCCCTGCTCTTTCGAGCTTACAATCTAGGAGGGAGGGATGGTGGTACAGGAGGAGATAGCTGTGGGGGATGGAGTGGTAGGAAGAGTGGAGGAGGTCGGCAAGTTAGCAGGGGGTGGGGTAGGCTTCCCTGAAGAGATGGGTTTTCAGGGTGCGCCTAAAGGAGAGGAGAGTAGGTGATAATCTGATGGGTTGGAGCAGGGAGTTCCAGAGGATGGGTGACACCCTGGAGAAGTCCTGGAGGCGGGCATGGGAGGAGGAGACCAGGGAACTAGAGAGAAGGAGGTCTTGTGAGGAGCGGAGTGTGCGTGCTGGGCGGTACTTGGATATTAGGTCAGTGATGTAGTTTGGGGCAGTATGGTGGACGGCTTTGTACGTCAGTGTTAGGATTTTGAATTTGATCCGTTGCGCAATCGGAAGCCAGTGGAGGGATTGGCAGAGGGGGGTGGCGGAAACGGAGCGGTTGGAAAGGTGAATGAGTCTGGCAGCCGTATTCAGAATCGACTGAAGTGGGGATAGCCAGCGGCGAGGCAGGCCAGTGAGGAGGGAGTTGCAGTAGTCGAGTCGTGATATGATGAGGGAGTGGATGAGCTGTTTAGTGGTTTCTGGAGTTAAGAATGCGCATATTTTGGCGATGTTGCGGAGGTGGAGTCTGCAACATAATTGTTTGGCATTGTTTTGAAACATACATGTGCACTGGCATGTAGAAAAACGCAGCTCGATAGACATGGTGAGAATAAGCCGTAAGGATAACATAACTCAATCTGCCACAATATTACAGCCGTTGCATAGACATTTTTCATATAAAAGCAAGGAAATAGAGACAATTAAATGTGTGTCAAAGAAATAAAGTAACATATATTATGGATTTTTATTACCTTGCAGGACAACAATTTAAAGGGAAATTTGGTAATATTTAATGATATTGTTACAACTTAAGTTTTATGTCACCTTTTCACTGCATGTTCATAATCTTGCTCTAAATTCAAAATAGTAATGCAGAGTTCTTCATAATATTAGAAAGTGACACTCGCTTTGGAGCCATATGAACAAGAGACCTTTCTGTGACCATACAACTGTGTATCTTTTCTAAATAAAGCTGAACAGCAGGGGATCAAATTATACACTTTACAGTATTGATAAAAAGACTTGCTGTCAGCAGCCTCCAGAGCACAGCCCGGTGACTGTACATAGTAAATATGAACCATTCATAAGCAATATTTAATTCTTCCATAACAGAAGAAATACAATCAGTAAATAAATTATAAACACAAATAATATGTATTCCCTTTAAGATGTTGACATTGTCCTAGTATCAAAGTAAATCATTTTACCTCTCTGTAACATCATCTGTTTTTCTGAAGTATTTGTTACATGCCATAGTTTACATCTTTACAATACTAGTTTTTAGAATATTGTAATGTTTATTTCATTTACAGATATGCCCTGCATACAGTATAATCCCACGCCACCTGGTTCCACTTACATTACCCAGGTGTGTGGTCATGCCTCTGATTTCAATTCAGAAATGATGAGTTCTGCAAGTGCAAAATGTAACATGGACCTCAGAAGCTCGGAGATTACTGCTTCTGCAACTACATCCTTGCCAAGCTTTAGTACTTTTATTGAGGGGTATTCAGGAAGCTATGAATGTAAACCATCGTGCTTGTATCAAATACAAGCATCCGGACAAAGGCCACTGATAAAAATGGAAAATCCCAGTTTATCGAGCTACCAAGGTTCAGCTCCACCGCAAGCAGAAGATGCCCTGCCAAGCACTTCAGTGTATTTTAAAACATCTCCACCATCAACTCCAACTACACCAGGATATTCAACTCACAAATCACCACAGTGGGAAGACACGCATGCCTTGCCAGGTACTCATTCTTGCATGACTCCTAGTAACTTGATGGAGACTTCACATAGGACTCTTTCTCCACGTTTTCCAATTTTCCGCTTTAAGAATTCTCCTCCTCATACTCCACTGTATAACCCTCAGGTGTGCTATGAATCCACTCATAACATGCCAGCAGGCCTTCCAGGAAACTCAACACAAATATCAATGGAGTCCTTGTCATTTAATTTACCCATGGCAAAGGTGTCAAATCTTGTCTTTTCTCCTCTCGCAACTGGCCAAGCTATTAACATGGTAGGTGAGGGCAGTATTCCATCATCACCCAGCAGAAGCTCTTCAACTGGGGAGGGATCATGCGCAGTGTGTGGAGATAATGCAGCCTGTCAACACTATGGAGTTAGGACATGTGAGGGATGTAAAGGCTTCTTCAAGGTAAGATTTAGCAGATTGTAAAATCCTTTTTAATCCATGTCTGTATCAGGATACATTTGTGTAAATGTCCTTTAAACATTATGCTTACTAACCGTGTCATCATTAAAGGGAATAATGTTTTGCAGTACTCCAGAAAATGGGAAAAATTATCTCTGAATTGAACCTATTCACAGACGGGTTGATTCCAACCCATTCCTACTCACTTACCAGACTCAATGACAAATAAGACTTCATTAAAAGATACATTTCAACTCGAATCGCAGCACAGTAGAGTACCACAACTAAACAATTAAAAAATGTGAAATAAAATGAAAAAATAAATGTGTGAATATCAGTGTATAATTATAACACCAAATGATCTCCAAAAGAAAGAAAAACAATGCATACTGCTGCTACCTTAGAGTTATTATTATTATACAGTTTTTATATAGCGCCAAAGGGTATGCTCAGCGCTGTACAGTAGCAAGGGGCACATAACATGAGACATGACAGTAACAATACACTACACGAGGGGTGCGAGGGCCCTGCTCTTTCGAGCTTACAATCTAGGAGGGAGGGGAAGGTGGTACAGGAGGAGATGGCTGTGGGGGATGGAGTGGTGGGAGGAGTGGAAGAGGTTAGTTGTTAGGTGAGGTCGGGTGTTAGGTGAGGTTGGGGTAGGCTTCCCTGAAGAGGAGGGTTTTCAGGGTGCGCCTGAAGGTGAGGAGGGTAGGTGACAGTCTGATGGATTGGGGTAGGGAGTTCCAGAGGATGGGGGAAGTACTGGAGAAGTCCTGCAATTGGGCGTGGGAGGAGGAGACCAGGGAGCTAGAGAGCAGGAGGTCCTGTGAGGAGCGGAGGGCACGGGTAGGGTAGTATCTGGGTATCAGGTCAGTTATGTAGTTCGGGGCGGCATTGTGAATGGCCTTGTAGGTCAGGGTTAGCAGCTTGAACTTGATGCGTTGGGCAATCGGGAGCCAATGAAGGGATTGGCAGAGGGGGAGGCAGATGTGGAGCGCTTGGTGAGGTGGATGAGTCTGGCCGCTGAGTTTAGGATCGACTGGAGTGGGGATAGCGTTCGTTTGGGTAGGCCAGTGAGAAGGGAGTTGCAATAGTCCAGGCGTGAGATGATGAGGGAGTGTACGAGTAGTTTGGTGGTGTCTTGGGTGAGGAATGTACGTATCTTGGAGATGTTGCGGAGGTGGAGCCTGCAAGATCTAGATAGCAGAGTTGAATGATTATAATAAATCATCCAAAATACAAACAATGAACAAGCTCTACAGAAGTGCTAATAGATATACCATAACTCCCAGTGACATACCATATTAAAATTGACTTTCTAATAACACATGGAAAGTGCATAAACAATATAATAAGTATTGAATCAGTCCATATAGTGGTGTCTCAAAAGTTCATATCACCAATGCCGTCACCATGTGAATCCACAGAACTCTCAATGCAGTGTTACATTTATAGGTAAAGTTGATCCAGGGAATATTTGATTGCTTCTCGGGGGATCAGGAAGGACTTTTTTTCCCTGCAGGACCAAATTGCATCATGTGCTGGGGTTTTTTTTTCCTTCCTCTGGATCAACTGTAGGTATAGGACTATAGCTTTTTTTTTTTAACCTCCCTAGCGGTATGATTATTTCAGATTTTTGGTGCTGAAAGCGGTACCATTATTTTGCATGGAAATATGTAGTTTTTTATTGTAGGCTGTAATATTTAGGAATAACTCACTGAAATCTGTCCGAACAAGAGTCTAGTAAACATCCCGGGTATGATAAAATTTGAAACACGAAATCATAAATTATAATTTAATAAATAATCATAAAAAATAATATAATAATAATAATACATTTAATTCAATAATATAATCAAACCGAAAACACTGAAATTTGAAATAGAGCGCCAAGTTCGTACATTGCTGAGCAAAGTCGCAAAATCGTTTTCAGTGTCTGATGAGGAATTTCCCCCACAAATCATCACTCAATTCTGCAAGTGGTTCTGATTTACTATCGCTGTTCTCTAGCTGATCTAAAACCGCTTTTGACCTAAAGGGACACTTTTTGGACGCCATAGACGTTTCTCAGTTTCCAGGCAGAAAGAACAGACAAAATGCAGGCAGGGCGCCGGACAAAGCAGTAGGGACAAAATGTATGTGAAATGGGTTGAAACAGCAATGTTTTACTATTTGCAAATTTCCCGCCACCGCCGGCGTCCGTACGTCCCGACGTCACAGGGACCGGAACACAGAAGCCGGGTGCCGGCATCGGCCGGAGGAGATGGCCGGGGACGCAACAGGGGACAGATCGCGGGAGCGAAGGACAAGGTAAGCTCTGCAGGGACTCCCTATGCAGCGCCGCATGGTAAGCCCGAGTGTAGCTCGGGGTTACCGCTTTTGGCACTACATTTTACCCCGAGCTACACTCGGGAATACCACTAGGGAGGTTAATGGTTGAACTGGATGGAATTTTGTCTTTTTTCAGCCAGACTAACTATGTAACTATGTAACGTGCATCCAGACTCTCCTCCAAGGCGCCTCATGCCCAGAACACACTTTCCCCGGATTCACTGACACTCACCAGACAAAATGGCTTATCTCATAAATGATAAGCCATAGTGCTTGCATTGCCATACACTTTGCTGTATCCCTGATCATTCTGTGTAACTTCCTGACAGCGGGTTGAGGCAACACGCACTGAATGGTAAGCTATATTAAATAGCAAATACTCCACAAAAGAAAGGAAAAGACCAATAGTGCAACTTCGATAAAAAACAGAAATTATTCCAACTCCAAGAACATTCTACTCACAAGCACATATTGTATATTAGCCTATTAATGGTCACACAGATGTCACCGCGATTTACAAGTGTGCCGCATCAGCAGTGTCTCACCTGGTCCCCTCACTGATTGCGAGCAGTGTATCACTTCTGGCAGGGAATGTGAGGTCACACACTGACGCGTTTTGCCACCTGACATCTTTGAAGTCACACTCTTCCACAGTGCTAATGACAGTCACTTTCCAGTCACTTTCCTCTTTTTAGACCATGGAAAGCCAAATAAGGGTGGGGAAGAGCTGCAATGCATGTAGTATGGTATGATTAACCACTTCCAGTCCGGACACTTTTACCCCCTTCCTGACCAGGGCAATTTTCAGCTTTCAGCACTATCACACTTTGAATGACAATTGCGCGGTCATGCAACACTGTACCCAAATGAATTTTTGACCATTTTTTTGAGACAGTAAAGCTTTATTTTGGTGATATTTATTCACCGCTGGGATTTTTCTTTTTTTTTTGCTATGTAAATGAAATGTCCAAAAATTTTGAAAAAAAGTGTTTTTTTTATAAAATTTTGCAAATAAATAATATTTCATCATAAATCTTGGCCAAAATGTATTCCGTTATCTTTTTAGTAAAAAAAAAAATCCAAATTAGTTTATAACCAAAAATTATAATTTTTTAAACTTTTTTTTTACATTTTTATTTTTTATATTATTATTATTTATTTTTATTTTTTTTTTACATACTGTCACCCTAGCAGTACAGTGTCACCATGGTGACACTGTACTACTTGTGGGGGGTGAAGATTTATTTTTTTTTTTTTACACTGATTGCTTTTACACCCATATAGAATGTAAAAGCAATCATTTCTCTTTCTCTCTGTCTGCATTCCTGCAGTCATTGAGAAGTACTGAGTGAGCTGTGATTGGTCACAGCTTGTCACATGGTACAAGGCTGTTGTGAATAGCCTTGTACCATGTGACCTTTGTGATCATTCACAGATTTCACAGGTAGTAAGCAATGATCTCACAAGTGACATCTTACTTACTACTTTGCATGTGATCACTGATTGGCCAATCAGTGATCACATGATCGGGACCTCGTACAGAGGTCCCATCCAACGATCGGTGTTTCACTGTGTCCGGAGGACACAGCGGGCACTGGATCGCGGTGCTGCATGCTCCCAGGGAGCGCGCACAAGCAGGGTGCGGGGAGGCCGTTTATAAATGGCCACCCGACCCTGCACTGCCACCGTCTGGCGGTTTTATAGAAGTGCGGAAGTGGTTAAAAGTGGGCAAAGCCTATCTAAAATGTGTGTGACCCAATAGGTGTGGTTTATCATGTGTGATTTAGTGATAATGGGGAAATTTTTCCGTTCCCCTATGCAGGCTTTGCCTATTTAGTGTGTTCACTGCAGTAGCAGAGAAAGGCATTTGAGTTGTCTGTCAGGTTACAAGCAGACAGTTCACATCCTATACCCATATATACAGCAACTGGTCTATCCGTTTTGTTAAAGAATAAGTTCACCTTTGGAAACGTTACATGTCCCCCCCCTGTTTTTAGGGTGAAACATGTAACAGCTCCTGGAGCTGCTCCCTGATCCCCCCCCCCCCCCCCCCCCCCCCCCCCACTATTTGAAAAGAGCAGGACCATGCAGTGCTCCGCCCACATTGCTGTGTCATTCATTAAGTACTGACAGCCTTTGTGCTGTTGAGCAATCTAGGTAGTTCTTGTCATTGTGTAACTGTCTGCCCCTCCGCTTACACTGACAGTCTGCAAGGGGCCCTATATTGTACCCGCACTGATCTACTGATCATGGGTGTAATGCTTTCCAGACTCCTACAAAAAAAATAGTAAATGCACATTTTTTTTACCTGCAAAACAATGCATTTTTTTTTTTAACGGTGAACTTATCCTATAATGTGGTGTATGCCACCCACAGCCATTTTTCCCTGAATGAATATGGTAGAAAAGCCTGTTTTTTATGAACATTATAATAACCATTTTTTATTTCCTCTGCCTGGGATCTAAATGAATGTAAATCCTCAGTCTGCTCTTTCAAAGGTGCAGGTTTTATTCAGTGATTTGTTCCTTTTGTAAAGACACTAAACTTATGTTTCTATTTAAAGGGATTTTTTTATTATTTTGTGAATTTCTTTTAACTTGGTGCAACAATGGCAAACTAACAAAATGAATCAAACAAAAAGGTTTTATACAAACAGTATTTAAAAAAAG